AATTTAGCTTTCAAATCGAGTTTAGAAAAGATTCTATAAGAGTTTTAGTTATGATCTAATATAAAGTTAAAGAAGTAAAGTCCGTTAAATTGATTCTAATTTTAATCATAGACAACATAAAGTATTCCTTCCTTCTAGTAACATTTTGTTGAGCTCTCTAAGATTATCCTATTCCAAAAGGCTTAAATAAAGGAAACTATCTGACCATCGTATACTGTCGATAACGTAGTCTTGAAATTTGCTCAGTGAAACAGAATTAAGTCTTCATTAATACTGTAAATATAAGAGATGTATGGCCTTCATTTTAGTGGATCATTTCTCATTATATGTAATGGCATCTGTGACTGTTAATCATAAATTAGTATTCAAGTCTAGTGTAGGAAAGACTGAAGAAATACTTTCAGCTGTAGCAAACGCTAACATATTAATGGTCAATTTACTTTGCATAGGGAAAATTTCGAAAGTAATTTTAAAGCAACCAATGGATCAATCACCTGTACATGATCATCATCTACAAAATGGAAATCAGATGGAAAATAATCAGTTAGCCGATGAAATTCAAAATTTAACTGCTACTAAGCAAAAGGAACAAATATTACAAAATGGAATCCATGCCATCGTTCCAACTGATTTATTGACAGGCGATAACATTTCAGTAGTAACGAATTTACCTGTCGAACAGACCGAAATCCGAACTGCGAAAGATAAAAATCATGATTCCGATACTGTACAAGTCCAAAGACAAGTTATCCAAAGAACAGAAACGGTTAAAACGGAAGTTATCATTACTAAAATGGAATACCAAACGGAAGAATGTCTTACTGTCCAAGAACGGCATAAATTAGCTGATCAAAATGGCACTGATATCTCACCCACTAAGTTGGCAATAGTGGATGAAATCAACAGCAAGAATTCGCTTTTCTCCAATACTTTAACCAATGTGGAGAAGAAATCAGTTCAAACTACAGAAGAAGATGTTAAAATTACAACAACACCAAGCCAAATAGTACCTGAAAATACATCGATGGATCTATCTAACCTGGACGAGAAGCAACCCATAGCGGATGGTGTGAGTACAACCACGCAAGAAAATGACCAATATCAAATCAATAGCTCGATATTATCGCGCCAAGAAGAATCTGTACATCAAAGTCAAGAAGTTACAAAAGTCATTTCCACCACAAGGGAAGTATCATCACTGAGCGAAAATAAAAGCAAGCCATCAGAAGATGAAGACGTTGTTAACGCAGTAACAGGATTAAATTCCTATAGCCCTCGCTTTCGAAAATTAGTCGATGAACTGGTTGAACTTCCCCCAAAACAACAACCAGCTAGTACAGAATCAGAGAGTAATAGCAGCAAAACTTCGAAAAAAAGTATGCGAGATATCGTTTTGGAAAGAAAAGAATTAATTCGGCATACTAGGGCTATTAAATCGTTATCTAAATCACCTGATGGTGAAGGAAAAAGTAAAAATCTTATCCAGGGTTGGGTACCAAGCGATCCAGCAGAAGAGAAGGAGAAAAATGTCATTAAACCTGAAGACATTATGATATCAAGCTATGATGATGCTCAAAGTCGTCAAACATTTCAACAATTAATTCGAGAAATTGCACCTAAAACCAAAATGGCTCTAGGCTTGAATAAAGACTTAAATAATATTAGAACTCTTTTATTACGTGGAGGAAAACGTGGCTATGGCCTTGTTTTGGGAGAAAATGAAGATCACATCGTCTATATTTCTTATGTATGTTGTTATTTCTATTTTCAAATTGACTCTTCTATAATTAATAGACGATTTAGGGTAACTCATTGATGTTGTGTATAATGTGGAAAATACCCTGCTGCTTTCTTGTTAATAATGAATTTACAACTTGATTGCTACAGATTACATCGAGGAGTTTAGCAGAACAGAGTCCGCTTAAAGTTGGCGATATTATCTATTCCATCAACGATACTATTATTCAAAGAAAAGAACAAGGTGAAAAAATACTAAAGAATTTCAAGAAGAGTTTAATCTGCATTGCAGTCAGGACAGAGTAAGTATTAGAGCATAGTTTTATCCTAGTATTGCAAAAAAGGGAATCCAAGAAGGATTGCTTGCGTATTACCATTTACTTTTATGAATTTCATGTTATTGAATCTTTTGAGAAAATCTTCCCACAATATCTGCAGTACTGTATATACGAGAATTTTGCGAAAAGGGAATTAATGAGGGATTGCTTGTGTTCTACCATTTATGAATTTCCCGTTACTAAATCTTTATAAGGGAAAATCCTTCCACATTATCTGCATACTAGAATATTACAAATGTGATTTATTGCTTCTGTTCTACCATATATAGATTTTACATTATTGAACCCTTTAAGAAAATCCCTTTGCAGTCTAGTGATATATGCGAGAATATTGCAAGAAATAGATCAATGAAAGATTTCTTCCATACTACCATATATGAATTATTTGAGGAAATTTATCTACATTTTAAGTCTATCTATCGATAAATATATATGTATATGTATATACAATGTATATAAATATGCATATGATATGGACAGCATCTCATTAAGAGACATCTAAAAATGTTTTATCCTATAATTTTTGTTCTTTAACAGATTTAATTTAATTTCGTACCTTGTACAATCTCAGAAAAACTTCCAATCAATAGCTTGCTAGAAAACCCACCTATAACATATTCATGTACTATAAAATTCATGCTAGTACGTAATATTGAAAATTGCTATAGAACACAAATCATAAGGTATTAATTCCTAATTCATATTCTTCATCACTATCATGAAATTACAGTCGCTAACCTTCAAAGTCTTTGAGATTATTTTGCACCTGTCATGTTATTCATTGCTGATGTAATAGCTAACGTTAGCGCTAACAATCAACATTTAGATACAGTTCCTTATATCCAGTAGTATAATTTAGTTCAACTAGCTATTTCTTCATGTGCTATACTTTAGAGAATAAATTGCGTGCAAAAGCCTGTAGAAATTACAGCTGGTGTGCTGGTAGATTGAAGAGCTTGGGTTAGTCTTGATCTTGCTACTGTTTAGTAACACATCAGTTTTGAATTATTTTTGTGTTTTGTTACTAGTCAGTAACATCTATTTTCCGATTTGACTAATTGATTCGATTTGCTTCGATGAGTGAATTCTGGAAGTTTTAATTCCTAGCTTCGAATAACCCGATAGATAGGAGGATTCTCTTTACCCCTAAAAACATTAGCACTTGCTTCAACTTGTTATCCGGTGTACAGTAGTCAATATCAACGAGCATGAGATCTTAAGAACTATTCCAAAATAGAGTTATTAGCATAATATGTGAAGTATTAATCGTAATAAATACTCTCACGCCTGCTTTTGAAGTTTTCTAATTTAGGATTATCCGTAGTTTCTAAAACTTAAAATAACATTGGAGAGTATAAATTAAATTTCGACCTTTTCAATTTCATTACTCTGCGTAGTGAAAGAATTCAAATCAATAGAGGCTCAACGGATGATAATCAACCTGAGAATACAACTCCATTACAGGCAGTTGTTATCAAAACAGAAACATCTCCTATAAAGAAGAAATCGTATTATAATAAATTATTTAATCGAAACAAATATGTCGAACCTCTGGTCGTTTCAACTTCGGGTGGAATCGCTAATAGGTAACTAAAGATTAATTTAATCGTATGATAAAGTTTAGCATAGGTTACAGTATATGTAGATATTGTAATGACGTAACATTAATTTTAGCTTAGCAGAATTTAACATGGGTTAAAGTATAAATATCGTAATGACTTAAATTAATTCTATCATATGTTAAAATTCGGCCTGGGTTGAAGTATTAATATCGTAACAACTTAAAATTAATTTTATCATATGTTAAAGTTTGGCTTGGGTTAATGTATAGTATTAATATCATAATAACTTAAAATTGATTATGTCACAACAAGCTTTAGCATGGGTTACAGTATATAAATAATAATATAAGATTGCTTTTATCATATAACAAAGTATAGTAAGGATTAAGGTACAAATATCGTAATGATATACAGTACGATTTTATTATGACAAAATTTAACATTGGCTAAATATAAATATCGCGATATCGTAAGATTGCTATTATCATACAATAAAGTTTATCGCGGGTTACAGTATAAATATCGCAATACCATAAGATTGATTTTATCATATCGCAAACTTTAGCATAAGTTAAATATAAATATCGTAATAACAGAAGATTAATTTCATCATAGCAAAGTCAGTATATGTCAAAGTGTAAACATCGTAATTATGAATGGCTGCTCTCATCATAACAATTTCAAAATAGTTAATTATTTCTTGTAAATTAATAAATAAATAATTCTTTAACATTCAGAGCAATTATTCAGGGATGGGACGAATTTATTAAACTAGCTCGAACGGCAAAATTGAAAAGATATCAGGAAGAGGTGAATTCTTGTTCCTTTTTTTCATTTTGGACAATAATCCAATGATGATATTTTCGTATAATTTAGATATTGAGAAGTAAAAGCTTACTCTGAATCATTTTCTGATCCTAAATGGACCCTAGTCGTAACTTAATATATACGAATTTTTAGCATCCATAAAAGCTGTTTAATGATTTTTACAGGGCTGGCAGCTAGATAATGATGAAAATGTATTATTAAATCAAACGGATAATGAAGATAAACAGTCTGATCCTCACGAAGAAATTTCCCAGGTTAAAGTGAGTGATGATGTACGCTCACTACTAACTAGCGCATCGTGGCAACAAAATAGAAAGGATAAATTGATGAATTCCGATAAAAAAGATACAGTTGATGGTTTAACAGATGTTGTTGAGACAAATGTCGAGGTAAATGAGATGAAAGATATGTATTTCTTACAATTTAACTGTTTTAATTCGTAAATCCACGGTTTATTTTTCACAACATCATAAATTTATTGCAGAATTTCTATTATTTCTATCTAACTTAGGTTAATGTGACCATGATGACAGCAATGAAAATATTTAAAATTATCCTGGTAGGAGATTCTGGTGTTGGAAAATCCAGTTTTATTAATCGATTTTGCCATCATAACTTCGATCAGTTCCAGCGGGTTACAATTGGCAAGTACACATGAACTACTTCTGACTTAAGCTTTATAATTAAATCTGTTACCATTAGAAGTATGAAAGAATTTCATCTTCACTCGTACCTTAGATATCGGGAGGTGTAATCATTAATTGCTTTCTAATGCCCATGACGAAAAGATAATCTAGAATGAAATCACTCAACTAATGTTACAATTGATTCTTTCTATCATAGTTAACTCTATAATCTGCCAACATTACTTTCGCAATTATTAGATAATTTATTCTGAAAATCATTACCTATGTTATTGCAATTTTATAACCTTTAGATCCAAGTTGTATTCCTATGTATTAGATAGTCAAATAGGATTAAATAAATTAATCTATTGCGTATCTCTAAAGCAGACTTTGCTCAGTGAATAATTTTAATTATTAAGACAAAGGAGCTAATTTCTGTAAAATGATTAAAAGATTAAACTCTAACCTTTTAAGATGATTATTTTAATCCACAATGAACAGATCCTGGATTGCATAATAAACCTGTTATTATTGATGATAAAGTCGTTATGCTAGAAATTTGGGATACCGTTGGTCAAGAAAGGTAAAGAATTAACTCAATACTGCTAATTAGAATTTACAAATTATGATAAGTAAATGCATACTGTATCTAACGGAAAGCTTTTATGTTCGAATTCTGATATGGTGTCTATTATTGAGAATAATGTTTTACCCTATATCTGTTGCAAATATCTGAAACACTTTTTGGAACACAGGATATCCAAGATTGATGTTTGCCTATTTTACTATTGACGTAGGTTTGATAGCTTACCTAGGTCCTACTTTCGTCGAGCCGATGGAATAATTGCCCTGTTTGATATTACCAGCAAAGACTCATTCGAAAACATTCCGACTTGGCTTTCACATATTGAGGTAGGTTAAAAGTTTCATAGTTTCAAGGGTTTAGTTTCAAACATGATACACCTACTGCTTGGTCGTTTCTTGCTTTTAGTACCGATGCGATCATCTTATTGTAGCTATAAAAAATTCGAAAATTCACTTTCATACCATTTCTATAAATATCTTAATAGAATTGGTATAATGTTAACAATAACCAATTACTCTATGTTGATAATAATAACTAGGACTGGGTAGAAAATCCACCTTTACTTATAATGGTTGGTAATAAGTTAGATATATCGGATCAAAGAAAAGTTAGCATAGAAGATGGATTCCAGATGGCTTTCGTAAGATCTTTATCAAATAATTAGTCTAATTCAAATTTATAAGTTACTAGACGAGTATAACTTGATTTTTTACTCTTAAATTTCTTTTATTGACGATCTTATAATTGTACAGGATCATAATGCAATGTATGCTGAAACAAGTGCAAGGACTGGAGAGCATGTTTTTGAAACATGTCATCAACTAGCAAGGTGATGAAAATTTTTAGTGCGTGTTTGCAGATCGATGAGTCTATCGACTGGTTTAAAATAATTGCGTAGCTGATCTTGCAATTAACAAAATTTTATACTTTTATTAATCTAGACACTTACTTGAAGCAAGGAATGAAGAAGATACTATATCGTCTAACAATATCAATGATTCTATCAAAGTAGATAGCCTTAAACCAAGACGGTTTAGAAGATCTAACAGTCGATGTTGCTAACTACAGTATAATAAAAGAAAGCGAGAGAGGTCTTTTACTTATAGCTATCAAACAGCTCATTCGTAAACAAGTGACCCATCATTCAATTTTTATAAACTTACTATAAGTTTGTGATAAAATGGCAAGAAAAATAAATTATTAGAACATATCGATCTGTCATACTGATTGATAATTTGTTACACGACAAAATGGAGGTTACTGGAGATAACCTATTTATAGCTATGTAAAATTTGTGATTTTTTTCTATCTATAAATTATTTATTAATTTGGAATAAGTCCTAGAGATAATATGAACTGAAGATTAATTTGATAGTCATTAATCTATACCGAAATACATTAGGAACCAGTAATTAATTAAAGGAAATAAATGGAACTGATACTATACTAGTTTGACTAGCTAGGTAATTAATTGGGGAGATGTAACTCGTCTTATTAATGCATATTCTGAAAAAATAATTCATTCTTTAGTTTTTTACATAACTCAGGGTTAGTAAAATGGATCGTTTAACCATCTACTGTATTTCATTTGAATACTGGTTTAAATTGATATTACCTAAACAGGTGTAATTATACTACTATCAGAGTAAATATGCCGTGTTCACGTTCTAGATTTTCTGTTTACCTGATATCGCTTATCTATCTTAAAATCATTTAGATTTTATTTATTTCCTAATGAACTCATATATTTATAACATAGCTTGTAATTTTCATTGAAGTTTTAAATGCTTTTAAAAATTATTATTTCTTTCTGCTTGCGAGTAGTGTTAAACAATTTACAATTGAGCTACCGGTATGGAAATAAAAGGTGATAAATTATTGTTTTAGATTATCTGCAGGCCTTGTGTGCTTAGTAATCACATATTGTCTTCCCACTAGCTATTTTAATTGCAATGAATTCATCAATTAAGAGACTTGTTAACCAACTAGTCAGATATATTCCATACTTTTAAAATAATGTGGAATGATTGTAAATTATAATTACGATTTTGAGATAAAATTTCCTTATAGTATAGCTAGGAAAATGCGCTAGAGCTTGAGTACTGAACGAAAGTTTCCTATAGATTTAACTACTGTTATAAGTAGAAAATAATAGCAAATAATATTCTATAACGGCATATCATGAATACTAGCAGGCATATCTATACTAGCAGGCATATCATCATATATCAATCAAAAAGGATAAGTAAATTAATGACGAACAGCATAAGATATAAACATATTGTGTTAACTGTTTTATCGAAGCCCTAATCTCAAAGATTACAGTATCAAAACAGAAATATGTCTCTGCATTTTAGTCATCATGTACAAGCATACAGTCTATAAAAATTATAACTATGAGTTAAGTATACTGGAGTAATTACGGAATTTCTACTCGGTAACGGTAATAAATTAAATATGAGTACAGATCTGTGTAGTAATATAATCCATAGGCTTAC